GGTATTTTTTTCACCTAAAACTATCTTTGAGACTTCCCAGTAGGTTCCTGGAAATCACAAAAATTTGTTTTTCCAGCACAGAAAAAGAGTGATGAAAGATATAACTAGGTTTGTTACATGCATTACAATTGCAAATTTCATGGGAATTTGTCATATCAAAAGAGAAGCCCAGCCTTCTCCCAGTTAAAATTATGTAAGTAAAATGTTATTAATATAACTATTTCAGAAATTGTATGCTTTATGTAAAGTCCCTGGAGAATTGTCAAATACCCTCTGTCCCTAATGTTTTTACTCTAAGAGGATATACTGCTCAAAACTCTTTTGAAATAGTTATATTCTATTCTCCAATAGAGAATTTACTCTATTCCATTCTGGTATTACTGGTTACAGTTAATAACTACAGCTATTATGTTTCTGTCATCTACAGACGTAATTTTTTTTTTTTTTGAGGAAGATTAGCCCCGAACTAACATCTGCCGCCAATCCTCCTCTTTTTGCTGAGGAAGACTGGCCCTGAGCTAATATCCGTGCCCATCTTCCTCTACTTTATATATGGGATGCCTACCACAGCATAGCCTGCCAAGTGGTACCATGTCCGCACCTGGGATCCGAACTAGCGAACCCCGGGCTGCCGAAGCAAAACGTGTGAACTTAACCAGTGCGCCACCGGGCCAGCCCCTACAGATGGATTCTGATGCTTGCTTGAAAGTTATTCTATAAGCTATAGGCCAGAGCTTGTGTATTCAACAAAGAAGGATATTTTCACAAGCCTCATACCAGATACTTCAAGCTACCGACACTTCAAAGAATATACTCTTGGGTACAGACTTCTGAAGTGTCATTGCTTAGACAACTTTTAGACCGTAACAGCCGACTGAGTATTTTCAAAATCCTTTTTAGTGCAGAAGCTGAAAGCGTCATGAAAGTAGACTGCTAAGCTAAGATCCAGTGAAATGAGAATTAATTACATAGGACTGAAGAAGAATTTTTTTCCTGGCTGCTTGTTTGGAATATCATTGATGTTTCAAATGTTCTATTTTCTGGATGTGTGAGGAAGCTCTTTTTCTTTCTTCTTAAGCTATGTATAACCCACAGAATTTAGTAGATCCTGATTTCTTAAAACTAAAATGAAATGTTTAAAAATGGTATTTGATTCTCACTGATACTCTCAGAATTCAGAACCTCTTACTAAGTTTTGTAACTTTTCTTGACATGATAGTGATTTCCACAGATTTAATAAAAATGTCTCCTTTTTTAACAGGATATAATTGGACAAACTGATGCTGAAACCAAGGACTTACATGGACTGTCATATTTGAGAATGGTGCTCATTTAATCAGATATGACTGCCACTTTGGAAGAACAAAGATTGGCTGTACTCAAGAGGCCAGTGCCTACAAAGCCATGCCAAGAAAAATGACCTGGTACTTGGAGTAGAGGGTTTCAGCCTTACAGGTGGTAAGGAAGGTCACTAATATATGATAATGGATTTTACTGACCTGGAAAGAGAGGAACTTACTCAAATGACAAGTACTAGCAGGTGAAATCTGGTGAAGAGAGTTCCTTGGGCTTGGTTTCCTAACCTCAGGATGGCAAAAATAGAGATTTTTAAAGTAGGATCTGAGATTTCCAATGAAAAATTCCAGAGAGAAGTTAATTTTGTGGCTTCAGTATTTGCAAAACAAACTCAAGGAGGCTATATGGTTAATTAAGATCTTGCTGTACCTATATAAATAATCAAGCCAAAACTAATGAGACCAGCAATTTTTTTGTTTAAAAATAATCTTTGAAATTATGATCATAATGGGGAGGAGGGAGTTGTCAGGAAAATGGGCAAGAAAGATTATTAAATGTCCAGATTTGTATACCCTTTTGGATTATCTTCACTTGTCTTTGTCCTGAGAAGAAACAATTGAGTATTGCTCCATGTATATTAACCAAGTTTTGCATCTATTTATAAATTCATCTCAGCCTTTGTGGCTGTTGATATATGTGTACGTCCTTTGAATTTTTCTTTAAACTGGTTGCAACAGGTTACTGTTTTCTTATTAATTAATTAGTTAAATAAAATCTTTATATATATTTCCTCATTCATATTCCTCTGTTTCCAGTAGGAAACAGGGAATCTGTGTTCCCAGTGGTTCAAATAAAATCTAAGAGATGAGACCCACTTGCTCTGACTGGCCTGAACTACATGTTCCTTTAACTAAAAACTGTGACTATGTGAAATGGATATGCTGATTACATTAAGCCAACCTACCCTGGAGGTTTAGTCATTCCCACTCAAACTGTATTACTGAGAAATGTGGTATAGTGTTAGGAAGAGGGAATGGAAAATGGCTGCTGGAGAGGCAACTAACAAATATCCAATACAAGAGGCTTTCCTCAAGCCTCTTTATTTCCTGTAAAAACAAGTTGACCAGTTTGGCAATAACGAGTAATCAGATCACCGGTAACTAACTATTGGAAGAGTCAGTACATTGATCAGGTTTTACTTTCTTGATTATAAGAAGTAGATAATTGAGTTAGGAAAGTAAAGAAGTAATAAAAAGAACTCCCTAGTTAGATTGTGAACTCTATATGGGCTAGAACAATCTATTTATAATTGTATTCTGGGAACCAAGCACAGTGTTTGGCACCTACAAAGAATTCTTTAAATATTAAACTCTAAATTTACAAAGTTTATAATTTTAACCCACATATATTATTTGCTACAAATAATAACCTCTTATGACATGCAGGGCAATTATTATAATTTCCATCGTGGATATGAGAAATTGAATCTTAAATCTCGAGTAATTTGCTCCAAATATTAAGTGGTAAAGCCAGGTCTTCTAGTCAGGTCTTCTGATTTTAAGCTGCATATTTTTTTACATTATTCCACATTGCTTCACATGCCTCAGAATGTGACTAGCTGACGGAAATTGTGATTTTTCTCTTCAACAGTTAATCAGATTCTCCTTTTCAAAAGTTAATTTTTAAATTTTACTTCAATAAAGCTTGTAAAAATGAGCCAAATAGTTTGTAGAGACATTTGAAATTACTGTTCTCATATAGAGATCTGAAACACTGACCACAAACCAGGGCACTCAGAGCCAATGAGGTTCATTAATGAATTAGTGCCAGATAAGCATTCACAGAGTTAACACAGCTTCTTTAGGAGCACCAAGAACATTAAAGGCTTTCCATTTCATTATTTTCTGTTACGTATTTCTTCTTTTTCATTCTTTTCTATGGATGCTAGGTCCGAAGAACAAGAACATTATACTCTTTGATGTATAGTTCTGATTATCATTTGTCAAAGGAAGCATAAAAATCTACTTACAAAACTGCATATCTGTCAAAAAGACCATAACTGCTACTTACAAAGGATTAGTAAATATCAGCTAATAAGTAAGAAGTTTCTGGGTAATGCCATATGAGGACATCCAGTTACAACACTTAAATAGCCATTCTCAACTAGTTCCTCCAGAGAATTAAGCCGTAATAATTTAAGGAATCCTTTGTATGTAATAATTAATTTCTGTCCTATGCATCTAGAATGGTATTAGTTATGTGCAATCTTTGGAAGAACTGAACAAAAATAGGAGTCACTCAAATCATTTTCAGTGTAATAATATGAAACTGAGAATATGGTAACTTAAAAGCTTGGTTATGAATACAAAACTTGCAAATACTATAGTTTGAAAACCAAGATGATTATTGTAGTTGCTGTGTTGCTTTATAAGATGAGAATACAAAAGACAGTCCTGCTTCAAGTTTGGTACTTTTTGGAATGTTTCAAATTTATAACAAAGCCATATCTGGAGCATTCACATATGAGATGTCAACTGAAATTCATAAATAATTTTACTAATCAATGTTTAAATTTTCTACTTGGCCTTTCACTAACTCAAGCTTACTGCCAAACAGGCATGGCTTGTTGATATAAGGGTTAAAGTCCTCATTTGGTAGCATATCTTCCAAGTGTATACCTTTGGTAGTGTATCTTCCAAGAGATTATTAATGTTAGTTTTCTCCTCCATCCCCTCTGAAATTCTGGGTGTTTTTCCTAAGTATTTAAAGCCAAATTTCACTTTATTATTTGTTTCTTTTTTTCCTCTCATTTTATATCCATATTAGGGATTGAGATAGATCTTTTTGCAGCCTTGGTCTAAATTATCACTGCTTAGTCACTTATGCTTAGCAGTTTAATCTTTTCTAGCCTGGCACTTTTTACAAACTATCATTCAGCCACTGACTGAAAGAAGTGATACAATCTGAAGATTAGGAATCTCAGAATTTGTACCAAGACTCAATTCTCTAAATGGTTGTATAAGAACATAGTGAAGGAAAAGAAAATAAGATGCAAAATCATGAGGAAAAAAAGCAAGGTTAACACAAAGTACAGTCAAGAGTTGCTTAACGATGGGGATAAGTTCTGAGAAATGCATTAAGTGATTTTCTTGTGCAAACAACATCACAAAGTGTACTTACATAAACCTAGATGGTATAGCCTATTATATACCTAGGCTATATGGTGCTAATCTTATGAGACCACTGTCATTTACGTGGTCCATTGTTGATCGTCCATGTCAAAACGTCATGATGTGGCGCATGACTGTAAATATTAGCTTGGCCAATCTATTTAGATTTTAAGACAAAGTGATCCTCTTAAGGGATTATCTTAATTAAGCCAGGTAATGTTTTTAAAGGTATGTATCGAAATTGCTAAAGAAAAAAATTAACTTCTGAGCAATGAATTTCTTGGAAGTCATGTGATGAGAGCTCATTGCCACATATTACAGAATCTTAATAATTTTAGAGTACTTTAGGTAGAGGAGAAACTCTAGTAAATTACATTCCTTGATGAAATATACTCAGTGGCACTTAAACTTTCATACAGCTGAAGATCCTTCAGAATAAAACACATCTTCCATAATATGTTATAGCCTACCTCCAAGGATAGGAGATAGGCTTAATGCTTGCAAAATCATTAATGCAAAAGCCTCTTGTCTTACCCGTTCATCTGCACTGCCTGTTGCATGATGGGGATAATTGATGAGACCAGGGATGGGCTGCTCACCGTGTGCCATGATAACAGCAGGACTGGTGTAGAATGGATGCTTCTAATGCACAACACATAACAACTATGAATATAGTGACAGGAAAACATGAAACTATACAAGCAAAATGACTGGAAAGGAAAAAGGGTGAAAACAAATGGAACAATGAAATGTCAAAATTTTTCAAATGTAGAATGACAAAATCAGTTTAGATTTCAAATTCTAGAAGCTTTTTTCTTAAGACTGAAATTGATGGTAATTTTTATTAAGAGTAAAAGAGAAAGAAGATAAAATGGTTTTAAAATGTACTTATTTCACCAATCAGTTCTATAAAAATGAAACAAAACAAAACAAAACAAACCTCACACACAAGTTAAATAGTTGCTAGGCTTAAGTAAGGACTTATCATTGAATGGATCTTGAGACAGGATCACCTGGTCTTCAGTGAAAGAACCATCTACTGGTTGTCTGAATGGACACTTCAAAGGATCTCTATGATCCTTTCTAATCTGTATGTTGTCAAAAAATCCTCTCATGCTATGCTCATGGCCAAAATATCTGGATGATCCATGAAAGTTTAGGAATTACTTCATATAGTGATTTGATTTTCAGTCTTTATACTCTCAATCAATGAATAATCATTATTCCAAGAAGTGCTATGTTACTTTCTAAAGATTTTAAAGCATACTGTATGGATAATAATGTAAATCATGTTCTGTGCCTTTAAGATGACTAAATTTACTCAAGTACCTCATGGTACTCTATTTATTCTCAGAAGTATCCAAAGAGAATTTGTAATACTTTGGTACTGTCCTAATAATATTTATTACTTTATTAAATTAAAAATGCAAATATATCCGTTTCCTCTCTATACCACTAGGGTAATTTGTGCCAAGTAATATTTAAATAAGTGCTTAGTTAATTGCTGAAAAGCCTTGTCTTTTAAAAAAATCTATTAATCTTTCTCAACTAGCTTTTTGAATCGTCTAAGGTCTCTTACCTTCAGTTTGGTGCTCTTTTAAAAATCTGTGAATATTTGATGTTTTGAATATATAGATATAGTATATTTAATATGTCCACAAAAATGACATCTCCAAAGAGTTCCTAAATGTCATATTGTTTATCATTGCAGCTATTACTTCAATAGGTAACAGGAGTATCTTTAATGCCTCAGAACTCAGAACAAACATCAATGCCTTCAAGGACACTACATTATGGAGGGAACATAGCTGTGGAGTGTCATGAATATCACAGTTCTTTTTTAAGGATGCCCTGAAGAGGTATTATGGAAGCATGGAATGGAAAGAGGGATGAAGTCAGTACATTTACCTGCGGGTCCTTTAGATCTTTGGGCCTCTCTCAGCTGGCTTACCTTGGCAGCAATGGCTGCTGCAGTTATATGTGATGAAGAACTGTCTTCTGTTGAAGCAACACCACTGTCTTTCTTCTCTTCTTCTTCTTCTTCACATTGAACCCCTTTGTCTTCTGTCTGTTTATGAGGGCTAGTTGTGGGAGGAGGGGAAAGTGGAGGTGGTGGGGAAGGTAAATCTTCAAGTTCATCATGCACTTCCTTTACTTTTACAATGGCATCACGTAAAAGGTCAATGGCGTGAGGTAGAGCTGGCAGTATGAACTGAAAGCATTCCTGTATGCAAGAGGAAGAAAAAACATGAAGATGAAGCACTTTCATAGGTATACAAAATGGGAGAAATCAAATTTATTTGTGACTTTGGATCTGTATTTCTCTCCATCATCTTAAGGAATATTTAAAGCATTGCCTTTGCAATGTGAAATATGAAGTAAGCATGGCATATATTACAGTATTCTCCATAAGCTGAAGAACTACAGTACTCTATAAGCACACAATACATTTTTTAAGTTAAATGTCCTCACAACTTTGGGGTTTAAAAGATACATTATGTGAAAGGCAAGAATAGTTTTCACCTTTCTAGTAGAGCAGAGCACTAACTGAGGACTGAACTATTTTATTCCCAGTGCTAAAGTTCTGACTATCATCATAAAGTATAGCGAGACAACATTGTACAACATGTAAAAATACATACAAATTTGTACAGAGCATTGCATAAAAGTCAATTCAGTTTCCTGCTCAGGTGCCCACTATTACCTATAATGTATCACCAAAAGAAATAGCTGAGAACTTTAAAATCGGAACATAGGGATAGATATGTTTGGGAAATAAGTTTGGGCAGAGGTCTTTCTTTTATAGTTAAGGTAACTTACCTTAAAATCTAAGATGTAAAGAAATATCTTAAAATTTACGGAGGGCTACTGGAATACCTGGAAGGGTACCTCATCTTTTGACCTCTCCTTGTTTGACTCAATCACTTTATTGATAAAGATTATATAGGAAAGAATTTAACCTTGACCAAAGAGAGGTCTGGCCTTTATTCTCAGCTTTTGGGAGGTGATCTCTAGTTCCTTGGAATGTCATGACTGACAGGAACATCTTTGTTGCCTGGGGGGCTTTGGTCACTGGATAGTCTAACAGTGTGGTTTATTATGAGAGCTTTGCGAAACATGGTATCAGTTTTGCCTCTGGAAGGAAATGGAGACTAAAGCCATCAGTCTCCCCTCTGGAAAGGGCTAGACTAAAGGTCAACCATGCAGGCAATATGTGATTGAGTACCAGTAAAACTTCTGGACACCAAAGGCAATGGTGAGAATGCCTACTTAGCAATACTCTGTGGGTACTGTCTCACATTACGATTAAGAGTAGGTAATGCTGTCCCTGACTCCATGGGAGAGGATGACCAGAAATTCCTCATTTAGTCCATCTCTTAGACTCTGCCCTATGCACATTTTCCCTTGGCTGATTTCAATCTGGAGTTTTTTCTTGTAATTAATATAGCATAACTGTGAATATAACAGCTTTCAGTGAATTCTGTGAGTCCTTCTAGTGAATTATTAAACTGAGGGTGGTTTTAGAAATCCCCTGAATTGAAACTGGTGTGAGAAGTGAGGGCAGTCTTGTGGAGTGCTCCAAGTTTGCAGTTGGTTAACTTTTGCAGCCAAAACTCCTCACAGTTGGTGTTAGAAGTGGGGTTTGCTAGAAACATCCTGACTCATTGAAACATGTGATCTGGGAAAAGAAAGGAACAGAGGGTAGGGGATGAAAAATCTTTAGAGCCTGGATGAACACAGGGTCACCCCAAGTACGGAATTGCAGCTGTGCTGCAATTAGCTATTGGAAATAAAAATTAGCAATGGAATTTCTAAATGAAAGATCCAGTTCCTAAGGAGCTGTGTCAGTGGATGCATAAAGAAATGCAAAATAACAAGAAACTAGGTAAATACACAATCTCTTGGTTATTTTCATCTGTACCAGCTAAAACGAAAGTAAGGGATAATATTGGGGGCAATCCTGAGGCTGGGCCAAACTTGGATTCTGGCTGGCTAGCCTCAGAGCTGCTTCTAAAGGAAAAAGTTAAGTCGAAGCAATAAATAGTCAATAAAGTTAGACTGATTAATAAGAGAATGGGGAAAGAGAAACTAGAGATTCAAGGGACTTGTCTTACCAGGGTGGAAATATTTAAATGGTTATTAAGAAATGAACGAATAAAGTGAATACTGATGGGGGCAAACAAAGGGCTTAATGTAGCACTTTTGTGGGTTGAATGGACAAATGGGAGCCCCTGCTGGTCTCCCAACACTGAAAGGTCCTAAACAAATCTCTATTTACCCTATTTTGGAGGAACTTAAAAAGCTAGAAGGCAAAGATGACTATAAGAAACCTCACCTTGAATCACCTTAAGTGATAGTCCCATAATCTAATCAAGATAAGGCCAGACAAAAGGATCTGGATCCCTTGGCTCAAACCCAGGCCTAGAAATCCAAGGCCATGTTGCACATGAATGGGTAAAATGGTCAGGGGATGGAGAAGAGAATTTTCTGGGACTCTTTAACATGGGAGCCCCATGTGCTGTTATTCTAAAACCACTGAAGTCCTAATGGGGTTACAGTTAGATTGGGAGGATATAGGAATGCAACAGTTGATGGGATTAAGGTGAAAGTTTGGATGAAAATTAGAACGTTTGGACAGTGAACTTTATGTTAAGTAGTGAGTCTCCTTTACCTGAATGTATTATGGGATGGATATTGTATTTGATGACTGGAGAATTCTTCTCCTACCTAGTATTGTAAAACAGAAGGCATGTAAATTCACTCCTCCGTCAATGTAGATTGGACATACTAAATGGGAACCAATAAGATTGCCTGAACCTACACAGGTCACTAATTTGCTGTACAATGGTCCTGTGTGAAGTGCAGACCGGGCTTTTGGCAAAAAGCTGTGAGTGCCACCTAGCAATAACTGCTAGGATTTTGGACCAGAAAGGTTCCATTTGAGAGATAATTACTAGCTTGCTAGTGGACTTTAATTGAGCGTCCTTCTGACTGAAGTAGATAAAATAATCTTGAAACCTGAAATACCCATAATGTCTTGGGTAATGTCTGAGAAACACTCTAGTGAGGAAGGCTATGCCCAGGAGACTTCCATAATAAAATGGAAATGGTGTATATAAGATCATGCTACCAGTAGAATGCAAGGAGGTACTCACGAGCAGGTAGCCTCTTTTCACCTAGGGCCGACTTCGGAACCACCTGAGGAGCTGCTGGATCCTATGGCCACTTGGGCCACCTGGGCGGTGCCCTATAAACAGCTTTCTAGTGATCAACAAAGAGCTGCTTGGTTTATGGATGGCAATTCCAAGATGAAGGGACAACATCCTGTTTGGAAGGCCGCCACTCTGATTGAAGAAGGTAAAAACAAATCAGCTCAATAGGCTGAACTACATGATGTTTGCCCCTATGTTTAGGTTTTTACCAAGTCATGGGAAGTGCCCAATGGCCTGGCCATATAGTCAGGCAGAAGGGCAATAGAAAACTGGTCTATTAAAGGGGGGCCGGTATAGGGTATGGCCCTTTGGAAATCACTCTGGGCATGTAAGGAGGATATTAAAGTAGGATACGATAATGCCCATCAGAAGAACCCCCTTCCAGAATTGGAAGTTGATTGGAACTGGTGAGCAGATAGCACGGTATGCTTGTTTGACATGGCCACCTGAGCCCATGAGATGAGTGGACACTGGGAGGCTGTGGCAATGCAGAGATGGGCTGAATCTAAATATATTCCCCTTGCACCCTCTGAGGCACAAAATGCCAACAAGAACTGCTCTGTCTGCTAACAAGAGAGACAGAGAATGCAGAGGGCTGTGCAGCAGATTCCACAGGGGAAGGTCCTGCACATGGCTGGCAGTTAGACTGCTGCCAGTAGCCCCTGGAGGCTACAAATAGGTCCTAACAAAAATAGACACTCTGGACTGGGCTTTGCTTACCCAGTGGTAGGTGCAAAAGCTCAGCATACTGTAAAAGGACTAGAACAGAAGAAATTGTATCAATGACCATGGAGTCACATTTCTTTAGATCAAGGAACGCACTTTCATCTTCAGAGCAATATGACAGAAAATTGGAATGGGCAATTGAAACGTGTTGTCTAAAATGCAAGGAGATAAAGGCATGAAGGGCTGGCTGACATGCCTTCATTAGTATGTGATCACACTCAACATGAAGGAGGCCAAGGGAGAGTCCCCACTAGATAGCTTCCTTTACTTTTCTGGGGAAGAGAGGGTTGAGAGAGGATGCTGGAATGACTGTACTTTTTTCTTTAGGACTTTAATTTTTCTTTTTGCCCCATGTCACCTCAACTGTCTTTTCTACTACTGACACAGTGGTCCTAGGACCTGGGCTGCAACTAGGTGCCAGAAGCAGGGATGATTCCTCAGCAGAAAGTGTAACTATACCTTTAAACCTTTATGTCAGAATTCCTAAGGGCCTGATGGGGTAGATTGTGTCTTACTCCATCTGGCCAAATTGGGGTTAATCGTGAATGCAGTTATATTGCCTGGTGTTTGAGACCGTCCATTAGTTCTGTTCTTATGTAACCTTACCATATATTAACGGAGATGGACTGAGCGGGAGGCACTTGCTAAAGCAGTAATACTGCTGGCAATCTGTACCAGCACAATGGCCAAACCAAGTGCCTCGTTCAAAGATTATCAAAGGAAAAGTTCTATATAAATGGAGAGAAGGAGGAATGGTAGCTGAAGGTAAAGGAATGAATAAATGGGTTAGGCAACAAGGGAAATCCAATATTATATTGGTGTCTCAAAAGAGGCTTAGACCAAGAGATGATATTGTTTCTTAGCTCAGTTGTAACAGATGATGGAAAAGGTAAAGCCATATGTTGCTGAGATGACTACCGCTTTTGGAATCTGACAAGCTGTAAACCTAAGTAGCATTGCTCTGGGGGAGATTTTGGTCAAACGATATGATGATGGTCTAGGCTAACTACTAACGTCTGTGCAGGACTCCGGTAATATACCACTATCTTCTGAGTCTCATTTGTCAGGTTATAGCTACCACTGTACTGGGATATATTATAATACTGGCATTGTCAGTAAGATTATAATACAGATATTGATGGTCATATCTATTGGGAAATTGAGTTAAAGCCTCCTCAAAATGTAATACCAATGGAAAATGACTGGTCTGAGCAAGAGAACTAATTTCTATGGTAAATAGTTCTGTGCAAATGTATCATAAGGTACAAATAGAAGTACATCAAGATGGAAAATTATTAAATTAGCACAAAAATATGAAAATGTGTATAAAGGCTTTAGAGGATGGACTGGTTGTTTCCCTAAATATATCCCTATCCCACACTGGCTCCTTCAAATCTTAGACATATTCACACTGATACTGTTGTATCTGTAACATAAATGTATATAAATGTAATATAAATGTATACATATGCATGCATCTGTATATATATAAACATATCTGTAATATAAATATAGCAAATATAGATGCCTGGTCAAATACGATTGTTTTGCTGTAAGAGACCTTGGTCAAAGGCTAGAGGATACCTTGTGTAATGAAGAATTAACCTTATCCAAAAAGAGTCTTGCCTTTGCCCTCAGTTACTGGGAAGTAATATGAGTGTCTTTGTTTGCCTGGAGGACTTTGGCCACCAGACAGTCTAATAGCGTAATTTATGATGGAGTCTTTGGTCAATGTGGAATCAATTTTGCCTCTGGAAAGTGTTAGTAAAGGTATCAGCCCAACCTCTGGGAAGGGCTAGAGACTAAAAGTCAGCCACATGGGCAGTATGTGATGACCCCCAATAAAAACTCTGGACATCAAAGGCTTGCAGCTTCCCTGTTTGGCAATATTCCTTGTGTTGTTACACATTGATGCCAGGAGAGTAATGTGTCCATGATTCCACAGGGAAAGGATATTGGAAGCTCCACAATTAGTACCTCTCCTCTACTCTGTCTTATGTGCTTCTTACCTTGGTTGATTTTAATCTGTATCCTTTCCCTTTAATAAGCCATAATCATGAGTATAACATCTTTCAGTGAATTTGGTGACTCTTTCTAGTGAATTATTGAAACTGAGGGTAGTTTGGGGAATGTACTAAATTGAAATTGGTGTCAGAAGTGAGGGCAATCTTGTAGAGTGCTCTAAATTTTTGGTTGGCTAACTCTCACAGTTGGCCAAAACTCTTTACACTGAACCATATAAATGTCAAGGTTGCTTACCTGAGATCCTTTCTTGCTACCTGGCAGGTTAATTATGAGAGTTTTCCCTCTGATTCCACATACAGGCCTGAAAGGAAAGAGAAACTGGATGAATACTAAATTGCAAAGAATGGTTGGTTTAAATACATTCAACAGCAAAGATCAACCATTGTACAGTGAACAAATGTTTTAGGAATAAAATTGTTACAGCTAGAGATTCACCAATTGCTATCCAAACTGGGCACTCTGGTGAGGTTTTTACAATAATGGTTAGTGTGATGGACTGGAAAAATGCACTGAATATGGGATCAGAATAAATTAACCATTTGAAAGAAATAATGGCCAAATTATCTTCTTTCTCTAACTTCAGCTTCTTCATATCTCATACAAAGATTTCAATGAGAGAGTGTATTAAAAAATGCCTGGTATAGTAATATTTACGTTCAGAAGTCTAACACATAAGGCACCCAAGAGTTGAGCTGAGACTTACATTTACACTCCTGCATCTCAGGAAGTCTCTAAGTTTTAAAGTAAAATAAGGTCTCTCACAAATGAATGGCAGCGGGGAAGTTTGGAGAGCTCAGTTGCTAACAGATCCACTGATAAACACAGGCAATTTAAAGTAGAAAGGTCTTTCAGAGATCGTTGTAAATTTCCGGGCCACTTTTAAACTAAGTGCTGCAATAAGAAACATAAAGAGTGGAAAAGCACCGAAGACTAAAGTCAAGAGTTGAAGGCCTGGATTTCTTTTTTTTCTTTTTTTTTAAAGTATGTATTATGTACATACGTATGTATGTATGTATGCATGCATTTATTTATTTATTTTTGAGGAAGATTAGCCCTGAGGTAACATCTGCGGCCAATCCTCCTCTTTTTGCTGAGGAAGACTGAGCCTGAGCTAACATCTATGCCCATTTTCCTCCACTTTATATACGGGATGCCTACCACAGCATGGCTTGCCAATCAGTGCCGTGTTTGCACCCGGGATCCGAACCGGCGAACCCTGGGCCGTGGAAGCGGAATGTGCACACTTAACCGCTGCGCCACCAGGCTGGCCCTCTCAAGACCTGGATTTCATATGAGAGTTGTAATCATGTTTTGCCACTAATTGGCTGTGTTACTTTGACCTGGCAACATCTCATTTTCATAATTTGAAAACAAAGGGATTAGAATAGTCTATTTCTAAAGTTTTACAACTAAGATTGTAAAAGTCACGTAGGAAATGTTTTTTCCAAAACTTCTTCCTATGGTTGAGTTTATTCTTTAGCTGCTCTCACTCTCTGAAACAACCTAAAATTGTCTTATACTTTATTGTTTTTTTTTCTTGTTCTATTCACAAGAATTGATAGCTATTTATTTAAAACTTTCCGTATCTTTTCTTTTTAATTGAGATATAATTGACAAATAACATCATATTAGTTTTAGGTGTAGAACATAATGATTTCATATATGTATATACTGCAAAATGGTTACACAAGTTAACATCCATCACTAAAAATAGTTACAAATTTTTTTTCTTTTGATGAGAACTCTTACGATCTACTCTCAGAAACTTTCAAATATACAATACAGTTTTATTAATGGTAGTCACCACACTGTACATTACATCCCTAGAATTTATTTATCTTTTAAGTGGAAGTTTGTACCTTTTGACCACCTTCACCCATTTTGCCCACTCCCCAACTCCTGTCTCTGGCAATGATCACTCTATTCTCTGTATTTACGAATTTGGTTATTTTCAGATTCCACATGTAAGTGAGATCATACAGTATTTGTCTTTCTCTGACTTACTTCACTTAGCAAAATGCAAAGTGCATCCATATTGTTGTGAGTGGCAGGACTTCCTTCTGCTTTATGCTAATACTCCTTTATATATGTATACACACATACACCCCCTCCCCCCACATTTTCTTTATCAGTTCACCCACTGATGGACAATTAGGTTGTTTCCATGTCTTGGCTATTGTAAATAATGCTGTAATGAACATGAGGGTGCAAATATCTTTTTGAGACAGTGATTTCATTTCCTTTGCATAAATACCCAGAAATAAAATTGCTGGATCATGAGGGTAGTTCTATTTTTAATTTTGTGAAGAACTGCCATACTGTTTCCCATAGTGGCTGAACAATTTACATTCCCACCAACAGTGCACAAGGGTTTCCTTTTGTCCACATCTTCTTGTTATCTCGTCTTTTTGATAATAGCCATTCTAACAGGTGTGAGGTGATTTCACTATGGTTTTGATTTGAATGCCCATTTTTAAATCAGATTATTTTCTTTTTTCTTATTGAGTTGTATGAGTTCTTATATTTTGAATATCAACTCCTTATCAGATCTATATTTATGAATATTTTCTCCCATTCTGTGGATTGCCTTTTCATTGTTGACAATTTCCTTTGCTGTACAGAAGCTTTTTAGTTTGATGTAGTCCCACTTGTTGATTTTTGCTTTTGTTGACTCTGCTCTTGGAGTCAATGAATCCAGAAAGATATTGCCAAGAACCATGTCTAGAAGCTTACCCTCTATGTTTTCTTCTAGGATTTTTATGGTTTCAGGTGTTACTTTCAAGTCTTTAATCCATATTGAGTTGACTTTTATGTATGGTTTAATAGTATCCTATTTAATAGTATACTATTTCATTCTTTTGCATGTGGCTGTCCATTTTTCCCAATACCACTTATTGAAGAGACTATCCTTTTCCTGTTGTATATTCTTGGCTTCTTTCTCATAAATTAATTGACCATATATGTGTGGGTTTATTTATGGACTCCCTATTTTGTTCCTCTGATCTGTGTGTCTCTTTTTATGCCAATACCATACTGTTTTGATTATTATAGCTTTGTAATATAGTTTTAAACCAGGAAGTGTGATGCCTCCAGCTTTGTTTTTTTTTCTCAAAGATGTTTTGACTATTTGGGGTCTTCTGTGCTTCCATTAGGAAAGGTTATTCTATTTCTGTGAAAAATGCCATTGGAATTTTGATAGGGATTGCACTGAATATGCAGATTGCTTTGAGCAACAAGGACTTTTTAACAATATTAATTCCTCCAATCTCTGAGCATGGAACATCTTTCCATTTATTTGTGTCTTCTTCAGTTTCTTTCATTAATGTCTTATAGTTTTCAGTGTACAGGCCTTTCACTTCCTCAGTTAAATTTATTCCTCAGTATTTTATTATTTTTGATGCAATTGTAAATGGGATTGTTTTGTTAATCTCTCTTTCTGATGGGTTCACTATTAGTGTATAGAAATGCAACTGATTTTTATATGTTGATTTTGTATCCTGCAACTTTACTGAACTTGTTTACTGGTTCTAACATTTTTTGGTGGAGTCTTTAGGGTTTACTATATATAATATCATGTCGTGCAAATAGAGACAGTTTTACTTCTTCCTTTCTGATTTGGGTGGCTTTTATTTCTTTTCCTTGATTAATTTCTCTGGCTAGAACTTTCAGTGCTATGTTGAATAAAAGTGGGTACAGTGAGCCTTCTTGTCTTATTCCTGATCTTAGAGTAAAAAGACTTTTAGTTTTTCACCACTGAGAATGATGTTAGCTGTGTTGTCATATATGACCTTTATTATGTTAAGGTATGTTTCCTCTATACCCACTTTGTTGAGAATTTTCATCAGGAAAGGATGCTGAACTTTGTCAAATGCTTTTTATGCATCTACTGAAATGATCATATGATTTTTATCCTTCATTTTGTTAGTGCGGTCTATAACACTGATTGATTTGTGGATGTAGAATATCATCCTTGTATCCCTGGAATAAACCCCACTTGATTATAGTGTATGATCCTTTCCATGTATTGTTATATTCAGTTTGCTAAAATTTTGTTGAGAATTCTTGCATCTATGTTCATCAGGCATATTGGTCTGTAATTTTCTTTCCTTGTAGTGTCCTTGTCTGGTTTTAGTATCAGGGTAATGCTGGCCTTGTAAAATGAGTTTGGAAGTGTTCCCTCCAGGAATTTTCTGGAGGAGTTTGAAAAGGATTGGTATTAATTCCCCTTTAAATGTTTGGTAGAATTCACCAGTGAGGCCACCTGGTCCTAGACTTTGTTGGGAGATTTTAGATTACTAATTCAATTTCCTTACTAGTAATTGGTCTGTTCAGATTTTCTATTTCTTCACAATTTAGTCTTGGTAGGTTGTATGTCTCAAGGAACTTAACCGTATCTTCCAGATTGTCCAGTTTGTTGGCATACAATTGCACATAATTTCTTATGATTCTTTGTATTTCTGCACTATCAGTTGTGATGTCTCCTCTTTCATTTCCAATTTTATCTATTTGAGTGCTATCTCTCTTTTTCTTGGTAAGTCTAGCTAAAAGTTTGTCTATTTCATCTTTTCAAAGAATCAGCTCTTAATTTCATTGATCTTTTCTATTGTCCTTTTAGTCTCTATTCCCTTTATTTCCCCTCTGGTCTGTTATTTCCTTTCTTCTACGAAGTATGGGTTTAGTTTGTTCTTCTTTTTTAGTTCCTTGAGGGGTAAAGTTAGGTTGTTTACTTGAAATCTTTCTTGTTTCTTAAAGTAGGCATTTAAGGCTATGAACTTCCCTCTGAGAACTGCTTTTGCTGCCTCTCATAAGTTTTGGTATGTTGTATTTCCATTTTCATTTGTCTTAAGATATTTTTTAATTTCTTTTTTGATTTCTTCTTTGACCCATTGATTGTTTAGCAGCATGTTGTTGAATCTTCACATATTTGTGAATTTTCCAGTTTTCTTCTTGTAACTGATTTCTAGTTTTATATCACTGTGGTTGGAAAAGATGCTTAATATGATTTCAATAATCTTAAATTTACTAAGATTTGTTTTGGTCTAATATATGATCTATCCTGAAGAATGTTCCACGTGCATTTGAGAAGAATGTGTATTCTGCTGCTTTTGGATGGAATGTTCCTTAAACACCTATTAAGTCCATCTGGTCTAAAGTGTCATTAGTATCCAATTTTTCCTTATTGAGTTTCTGTCTGGATGGTCTATTCAAAGATGAAAGTGGGGTATTGAAGTCTCCTCCTATTATTGTATTATTGTCTACTTCTTCCTTTAGGTCTGTTAATATTTGCTCTATACATTTAGG